TATATCTCTCTCTCTCTCTCTCTCTCTCTCTCTCTCTCTCTCTCTCTCTCTCTCTCTCTCTCTCTCTTCTTTCTTTCTTTCATTATAAATTGCGGTTATTTTTCTGTTGTACATATAATTTTCAATGGCACGTAATTTCAGGATCGATTGTCGAATACTAATATTTGCGAGCTAGGACAGAAAGCCAACATCCAACGCGTAAGAAGTCGCAGCACGCGCGAAAACCATGCCGCGAATCCAGCTGAGTCCACATTTAACCGGTTACGGTTTACATACAGGATAATAAACAAACTAGGTAGACGGGGATTTCTAACAGATGTAGGATTATGCATCAATATACGTCAATTGAAATTGAAATTGAAATTGAAATTGCGTAAATCGTACGCTTAATTACATCAAATATCAAATTATAATATCAAATTTGTAAAGATAGCGGGCGATTCTTTGAAGAAAAATTGTATGTGTAAATAATATGAACTTTAATCGATTCTAATTTATTGCATATAAAAAATTTTGATTTATTGCATATAAAAAATTTTGATTTATTGCATATAAAAAATTTGATTCATCACATATAAAAAAAAGAAAACATGTTTTTGACATCAAGAAAATATCGTAAATATTTCATGTACCTCTTCTTTAGTAAATTTCAAACAGAAAATTATATTTTTATCGATTGCTTAAAAATTATCAATAATTGTTATTTTAAAAAACTTTATCAATAATTTCTTGAATTATTTCTTGACACTTACGTGGAGGAAAAACTCGGAAAAACTCAGACATTCTATACACGCGATCGTGTTCAGTTCTAACTAGATAATTCCGAATAGAATCGACGAAGGGCAATGGACAGTTTTTATTGAATATATTTCTATTCGCGAATAATTGATAATAATCACAATCCTCGGATATGAATAATGCGGTCTGCAAAATACGCAGCAGTGCGCTAATTGCACGTGTATAGGTTGTATTAACTACTGAATTATGAAAATTGTATTAAAAATAATATTTACACTTTCCAGTGTGTATATTAAAGACAGGATAAAAATGTAACCACAATCAGAAACCGCAGCCAGGACTGAGAATCGGCAAAACTCTTAATGATCATCCATTAAATACTCTCTAAAAAAAGATGTCATCAAAGATTCGTGAACTTATCGAAAGGTCCGTCTTGCGAAAATTTAACGCCACCAAGATACTTCCACTAATTGAAATGACGATTACTCACCCCTCATAAAAGTTTAATCGCAGAAAATCGCGCGGATGTTTCATAAAATCGTAAAATTGTTTATGAGAGAGCTGATCTTGAAACGGTCAAAACCATCGTGGCAGATCATGTTACATTAATCGGATCACTTGTGCATTCGTGTTGATGCTGTAATTGAGTATACATCGAGAAACACGTATATATTATATATGTAATCACACTAAGGAAACAAACGAACTACTCCCACATCACTCTAGAATGCGATTGAACACACAAAACAGAGATTTCATTCCTAAACGAGGGTAAATGAAAGGCACTACAGATATGTACAGAGACTGTTGACATCGAAAGGTGAAGATGATCTTAATATGTTATCAAAAACAACACAACGAGAGCATGGGAATGAAGAGAGTTTCAACAAAGTTTCTTTATCTGAAATAATAGAGCTGAGAAGATAAAAATCTAGGTGTTAATGCATCTGTATAATGTTTAATTAATGTATTTAAATGATGCATAAAGGAAGATTAACAATTAAATTCCATACAGCATGTGGAATTAAATTCCATACAGCAACAAATTCCATCAAATTTAATTCTCAATAAAAAATCTCAATTTTATATTAAAGATCGTCAAATAAAATTTATATACGACATAAATTATAATTCCTCATATTTCATACAAATTTTTGACAGAATAATTAATAATCGAAGTGGGCTAGAGAAATAGATTATCTCTTTTCCTTTAATTTTTTTTAAGCTATAAATGCGCACAAAGTTCGGTGCAAAACTGGCGTCTTGCCAATTCCGCGTGAATCGTAAATTTGTCGTCTCTTCTCAGTTGTGACATTGCAATTGAAACAATGCGGAGAGTGCCGAATTAAATGCGTCCACGAGACAGTGTCAAGAATAACACGTTAAAGAAACCGATCCTCGCGAAACGGCAGGTCATCGAGACATTTGACATCTGAGGAAGATGAAACCACCATCGTTACGGCTTAATTGATCATTAACGAACAGTCAGTTCGATTCAGGAAGAAAACCTCAGACACCGGCTGTTGTTTTGTAGCCTCCCTTCCCCCGCCGCCTCCTGACGCATTTCAGTGGGAAAATAATTAAAAAGGGCCCACAGAGAGAGTCCCGATCGACGGCACGGCGGAGTCGCATAAATTGAAACTGGTTTCAACTGGCCAACGTTGGTTCAATCTGGCGTGTCAATCCGAACGAATCCAGAAGCTTTCCGCTACCACCTTGGCTCTTCCCCTTCTCTGTGCGTGCGTGTGACATCTTTTTGCATAAGGTCAGGCCTTTCTTCTTTTCCGTTTTCTTTTTTATTTCGTTCACTCTGCCCCGCGAGGATTCCGAGGAAGCCGATGATTATTACGTGGCATAGATGATAAAGCTGCGCGGCGAGGCCGCAACTTGAAAGTCAGGTGAGAAACAGAAAGTTCTCTATATTCTGAAATTTTCATTCTACACTCTGAAACTATTGAATATTGTTTTAATCGTGGACTCAAACGACAAAACTAATCGATATCAAATTTTATAAATATTTTATGTATAACATCAAAAGTAAATTTAAAAATAATTGTACAAAAAGAAATTTTTTATCAATCGTTATAATTATCGTGTAAATATTGATTAAATAAATGATTCTTGTTAGATTAATTCTTGTTACATTACCACATTAAAATTAATATTTCTTGATATTAATTTCACATTGTATAAAATAATTTTGCAAATTATTTACGTGTCTTGATCAATTTTACCATAAAATTGCATTAATTTAAATTGAATGTATAATAATATCATAAAACAATTGCACGTTTAACACAAAAACTATATATTTAGACAAATACTGAACTCTTGATACATACCATTGTACATATTTATAAATTATTATATAAATTATATATATAAAATCAATTGATTTCTAAAATATTTAAGTATGTATATCAATCACATCGTTATATTGAAGAAATTTTAAACTAAAGATTGATAGACATTTCATATGAAATATAATTTACTAAACTATAACTTTATAATAGCTATACTTTAAAAATTTATAAATAGTACATATCTTTCTCAAATTTTTTTTACATCACTAATATATTCGAATTCTTTCTTAGTATATAAAATCTAAAAAAAATCTCAAAATACTATTGAAACTATACTATTAAAACATTCAATAAAAAACAATTCTTCCTAAATACCTGGAGCTGCCTGACAGTTGTATATCATCTAAACATTTGTTAATAAACAAATATTCAAATAATCACATATAAATAACTATATAATTATAGTCGATTATATTTTCATTTCTTTTTCCCAGAAATATTATTACAGCTGCTCTCGATCACATACGTGATACTTTAAACCTAGTTTTTTCTATTATACATTTCTTCATTTTACATTACTAAATATTGTCAATTATTATCTCTATAAGAGGTAAATTTTCTTCAAATACAAAAATTACGCATATAATAGGAACTGAAGTTATTATGTACATACTCGAAGATATGTTCAACCGCAGTTCAATTTTTACATAAAACGTCTTCTTCAAACATCTAGCAAACAAATTTATCTGTTTCAGACAGCAAAAATTGGCAGTGCCAAATGCGACATGGAAGACTCAGCATTTGTTACAATTCAACATACAAATAACGATTTATCTTAAAAATGATAACAAATAGATTATGCTCCTATGCATAAACATTATTCTCATAAGAATAATGAGAATCATCTTTGTCCTTAATTATAAATTATAAATAAAATTTGCTAAGAAATTTCTCAATCAATTAAACCAATTTCTTAAAATTATTGCAATTTTCATTCGGATTCTAAAGAATGTAAAAATACTTGATCTTTCCTACAATTCTGGCGCAGGTTGTCTCTGTCATAAGTACGGAATGTTTTATCTACTTATCAATCTAGTGTTACAATTGAATTGTTAAAGTTTGGTACATATTTTATCGACGGCATCGTTTTCGTGAACCACTACATCGCTAAAAGAATACTTTCTGTCTAACGGATAATTACCCGCTTCGTCCTCCGCATCATTACGACGTCTGTAAAGTATACGCCGTGCTACCACGGGAAAAAATAAATTAGTGTCTAACTCATCGTTCTGAGTTTTCCTAAACAAACGAAATAGATTGCTGACGAGCAATCCAATTACAAACGTTATTAAGAATCCAAGAGGAGAGTACCACATGTACGAAATGCGATATAAATAAAAGTACGAACTGTCACCAGTGCTCCTAAAAGGAAAATTCGCTAGATAATATATCTCGCATGCATATTCAACGATTATTTGACGGATCACTCACTTGGACAAATTCGTGACGTTCCGCAAAACGGATATCGTTGCGTTTGCAAGAGTATTATTACAGCCTTCGATAGTTGTCAGCAATTTAGGTGGTATTGGGCGTGGCTGGCCGAAAACGATCCAGAATAAAAATGAAAATGCTGTGAGAGCACCGATTATCGTACCTTCTTCCGTCGCCGATTCCGTGCCCATGCCGAGCGTGAAAATGCCTAACAATGGACCGCCGACTACTCCGAAAATAGTTAAGGAAGCCTAATAAAAAAAATTTATTTTATCGATATTGATTTTATAATATGTTTAGAGAGATATGAAGTAATGAATATTACTTGAAGTAGACCGCCCAAAAATTGCGCTAAAAATGCCAACGCGATAGAAACGATGCCGAATGTAAGAGCAAGTATCTTAGCGATGGTAGTTGATTTTGTAACGGAGAATTCACCCCCGATGCAGTTTCTATATATGGGTTTCACATAATCTTCTAACGTTACTGCTGCCAAAGAATTTAGCGCCGCAGAAATTGTGCTAAGGCCTGCGCTAAAAATACCTGGAGATACATAGAATTAATATTATAATAGTTATTAGTATAATAGTAGTTATTAATATTATAATAGATATCTGCTCTTCGCTTTAAAATTATAAATTCTACATAAAATTATATTCCAAACATTTATATCTTTATCTTTATTTTTAAATATTTTTATTTTTAGATATCTTTATTTTTATTCGTTGTAAAAAAATATTACCTGCGACGAAGAGACCCGGTAAGCCAGGTATATTGGACATTGTATCCATAACATACAGCGGCATAAGCATGTCGGGCGAAGTAATTCTTTTCTGCAGGAATGGATCGCAATTGTGATATCTACTATATATAGCCAATCCTGAGAAACAGGTCGTAAACGAGAGAAGTGTCAGAATGGGCCAGGACAGCCACATGGCTGTTCGCGAAGCTTGTATATTTCTAAAATAAAAAATTGTTTAATACAATTTCTTTCAATTTTTCACATGTGATTTAATAAACGGTTTTAAAACAAATAAGAAAAATTAACATTATTTGATTCATAACTAAAACTGGAAGAATTGCATTCCGTTATATATTCGACATAATTATTAATCTTATTTTGCGCTACTTTTTTTTAAATTACATTTCACCAAACTCACTTCAAAGTCAGCATACGCTGTATCTGCACTTGATTCACTCCGTAAAGTGATAAAAACGTGCATAAACCGCCAAAAGTAAGAGACCACCAAGTATGCCTCACTGTTGGATCCGGAGAAATGCTGTAACAGAAATACGAAATAAAATACCAGTTATGCGAGCTTACACGTTTTATCTTAGCTTATGCAATTAATGTATAAAAGCAGACGCAGTACCTATCAAACTCGAGCCGTTGTCCCTGCTTAGCAATTTCCCAGATCTGTCCTAATCCCCCAGCATCTCTCGCGGCCGTGCCAATAATCAAGAATACCGCGACAAACATGAGCAAACCTTGAAAGACATCGGTTATCAGTACAGCCTTAATGCCGCCTATGCTCGAGTAAAAGGCACATACGAGGCCGATGATAATAATACTAGCGGTCTTAGACATTCCTGTTGTCGCTTCCAAAGCTAGAGATGGAGCATAAAGTACCACTCCTGAGTATAAAAGCAGTTGAATCCAGTAAATGAAACTAGCCATCATTCTAGCCTTTATTCCGAAACGTCTTTCCAAGTACTAAAATAGATAATACACCTTAAAATTATATGTATCGTCGAAGATTCGTGAGTGCAAAGTTTATTAAATTTCTACTAGACTTTACCTCGTAGGCACTCGTCGCTTGAAGTTTGAAGAATACTGGTAGAAATCCGTAGCATACAATCGGAGTGCCTATCAGATAAGCTAAATTTATCGTAACAAATTGTGTCCCGTATGTGTAATTCTCAGCGGACACTCCGAGCAACGTAACGGCAGACATGAAGGATACCACTAGAGCGATGGCGACTGGTAAAATACTCATCGATCGACTTGCGATAAAGTACTCCTGTGAAATATGTCACCCATTGTTACAGCGTTGTAGAAAATGTAAAATCTTGTTTAAAATTGTGGGACAGAAGATCTGTTGAGAATAAATTACCTCCATAGTTTTCTGACGACCTCCGGTAAATCTGTAATATATACCAATTCCAGCACTTATGGACAGCATCACTGTTATAACTAAATAATCGGCCCATCCTAAGATATTTATTTCTGCCATCTTATCTGAAATTAAGATTTTAATTAGTAATGTTTAATTTAAATAGAAAAGACAAAAGTTGTTTGTCGCTGAAAATGAATATCAATCAGATAGATTTACAGATTAAAATAAAAAGATTTCATTTATAAGTTTATCTTAGAACTTATGTGTAAAATGAAAATTCAAACTTAAAATTGGCAAAGAGAACGATATATTCTTTCTTTTATTTAAATATGTGATAAAATAATGAAAATAAATTCAATAAAAAATAATTTATATAGTAAATTTTATCTATAAAAGAAATATATTTAATCTTTAAGTCTATCCGATTCATATTTATTTATGTATTCTATACTTCTTCTATTTCCTTACATATTCTTTATCTGTATTTTTAATTACGTTATACAATAACAATATCTAACAATATTTAATGTTATTTCAGTATATCACATGAAGTATCAAGAGCTATAAGAAGTAAAGAAAAAACAATATAATATGATTAATAAAACATTTGTTTGTACTTCAACATTGCGACATCTCTTTAATTAAAGACTTAAATTCACGTATCAATGTTGAAAGGAAAGGAGCTGAATATTTTTCAAATTATGTAGGTACATAAATTTTCTTTTATTATAACAAAAACATTTGAAATCACAGTTTACGATTTATAATCTTCAACTATGTTCTTAATCTACTATGATCTTACCAGTCCTACGTCACGCTTGCGAAATAAACTTTATCAGATTTATTGTTAGGCGGCGATCAGATTATTTCGCTCAATTATTGATTTAGTCATCAATTAACCGTCTCCTTCTCTCCTTTTCATTCCTTCGTGCACTCTTTCTTCACCGTTGAAGAACCGAGATGCGTGCGTAGCGATGAATAACGCGCAACAAGTAGTGATTACTTTACGAATATTAATAACAACATGCGTTCCACGCGTACCGATACCGCTTACGCGTTGCTCTTATCATTCCGTTTCGAGTTCGCTGTGTACGAGAGCGATGATAGTGACGGCGATAATCGCGTCAACGCGTCACAACGGCACGCGTTAATCGCACATCATGACATAAAACTCCGGAGTATCGCGAACGTTTGCGAACCTACGGTCGCACGATGCGTCCATCCGAGTCGCCGCTCGACTGCGCCGTCCGATTACGTAAAACTGTCAGTGACCGACCGCCGGCGAAACGCGCGGCGATCGCGGCACGCGCGTCGCAACGTGGCGCATAAAAGTGCATACGTACACGTGGTGCGTCAGGAATGTCGAATGTAGCAAATCTTTAAATTCCCTTTCCTGATGACTTGCCTCTCCGATCGATAACCGGAATCCCAGAGTCCACGCGCGAGCTTTATCCGGCTGACGACAGGCGAGTGTAACGCGGTCGAAACGAGACCTCGGCTTCTTTCTCCTCAGCGGCGCGATGCCTCGCGCACGCTCCACATGGTGATTCGATCGTTTCTGTTTGTCCCAACGGGACATGAGACGAGAACTCCATTGCGACCAGTTTGCTTCACAGAAATCAGGAATGGATGCGACGACTCGCAGGCCCTCAAAACGCGAAGAGATACCCGCATTAAAGGGATATGCTACATGTAACATTTTAAAAAAAACCGATTTGACACTTTTTCACATTTTTCGAGAGATTGATATTTTAGAGATATCGAAAAAAGATTTTAATGAAATTTATTTCGGTATTTCTTGGATTGTACGAGTTTCAGTGAAAGCGTACGTACCTAGCCTAAGGTCAGCCTAAAGCAACCTTTAACCTAATCTATCCTGTCTAGTGTCTCATGTTTCGTTTGACCATTGTGATCATTTCTCCGATAATAGATTCATTATAATAAAGTTGACTGAAAAATAATTAACATTGAAATACCTAAACGCTTTCTCGAAATCTTGAAACTTTTTTTCAACTGGCTGCATCTATAATTACAACAATCAAATTCAAATTTCAAGAATAACTTCACAAAATAAATAGTTTCAGTTAAGCGTAATAGATTTTTTTTAATTCTTAATTTCTAAGAACAAGATGTTTAAAGATGTCACAATATAGTAAAATTTTGAAATTTCTTTTCAAATCATCGCCATTTTATGAAATAAATTAAAAATAATTTAAAAAAGATTGTGTGCTTATACGGATTTGAAATTTTCAAGAATTTTTTATTTTTGATAATTACAATTTCAGTTTTCTACGACATCAATGGGCCATGTTTTTTGAACATCGAAGTCTATAATGTTATGTAACATCATTATATATTTATATTTTTACGTACAAAAATTCTTAAAATATCTTTGAAGTCCATTCAATTGATCAATTAATATATTTCCAAATTTATATATTTTCAAAATTTATAATTATGTAAAAAGAATTTTCAAAAAAGAGCTTTTTCTATATCTTTACTGTACTTTCTTAATTTTCCTGCGATTAAAAATTCTTTCGCTGCTTTCAGAGAATAGGAGAATCGGATTTAAAAATTTTCTATCGTAAAAGTGATAATTATAAAAGTGATTAATTCATTACTAATATTATTTAAAAAACAGATAGTGATAGAATCAGCACAAAGTAAAGAAAAATAAAATCATTTTACACAATAGAAATCTAGTAGTATATAACTTTTAATGGAATTATCTCGAATATAATTATTTTTATTCCACTGTTTACATTCACAATATATTTTACAATTACATTTAACATCAAAGATGAAATTTAATATCATAAACAAAATCTCATTCAATTCTATTCACATTTTATGCACATTTTAAAGAAGTCTTACGGAATTTAATAACCGAGTTTGCGAAATTCATCTCTCTGCATTAAAATTTTAAAGACGATATAGTATTACACATACTTATATATACTAAAATAAATTATACGCGTAATTTTAATTTTATATATTTAAGAAAAATATAAGGTAATATTGATAAATATGATAAAAATACGATATGATAAAAAAAGATTTAGAAAGTTTTGTCTTTCACAAATACATATTTAAGAATTTATATTTAGGGACTTTTTCAATACAAACATGCTTTTCAACAAAAATGCAAGAGATAAATAATTTTGGTGTAAATAATTACAGTGTTATTTTTATATGTGAGAGAATTATAAAAATTTTGTTTTTCAAAAGTTCTATAATCATGCTGTTGTAATTAGCAGTGGTAATTATAATACATTTTTTATCTGAGATACGACTTTAACACAATCTTTTCCGTAAACGTTTCAACATTGTGTTGAATTGTGATGTACGTTTATCGGTCTCATTATCTGGCAATAGCGTCACGGCACCATGACGCCATTGATTGCATAAGACCTTTAACCGCAGGGGTAAAAAAAAAATGTTGTGTAATCATAAAGTTTACATAGTTTAAATCGTATCCACAAAATTATTATATTATCTAAAAATCTTATTGCTAATGTCTCTAAAAAAAAATAATTTGCATAATTAACTTACATAAAAATACATGAGATGACACTTGAATGGATCAAAGGTCTCTTCGTTAAGATCATCAGTGAGAAAACCACAGATGTATATTGAGAAATAAATTGTAATTCAAAATGTCTTCGGCATGAATTTTTCATACATTCGGTATTGTATTATCATAAACAATTGTAAAATATTTTTAACGATCGAACTACGTTTCGAATTACAATTAAATTTCTCGGTTAAGCTATTTTCCTAAGATTTAATTTAATTCCGAAAAATTCAAAATGTATTTTAAAATCTTATCTCTAAAAATAAAAAACATTTTTTTAAAAAAACTCAAAATTTTATCTCGCCTCTTATCTCTTGAAGTGGATATTTGAACGTATAGATTATTTCTTCGCGACTGTTCGTAATTGTTTTATTGCTTTATGGCGTATTTATTGTGTCCATATTATCAAACTATCATATGTGACTTAGCGTTATCTCATAAGTGCATCTTAATCACATGAAAAATGTGTAAGTTGTATTTCTTCAATTTGTAGAATAATTTATAATTATAGGAATTACCGGCAATTTAACTGGATTTTTCTTTGCGAAGAAATCGCCTAAATGAAAAGAGCTAAATTGCTCTCTTGAAGAACGTGTAAACAACGGTTAATTAACATATATTTGCTCACACGTTTTTCGTTATTTATAGAAGTGTCTGTAAGACTTTACTAAGACATATTTTAAAGATGTTTTAAAGAAAGATGTCTTCACATAACTTGATTAATGACACATGACAAAAATTGTTCTCTCTTTATTATAATATTGTATAGTCCTGTTTACTAGTAAATAAAAAAATTAAAAATTTTGATTTTTTAAATTAAAATACTTAATAATTGTTTGTTTTATATTTTATTCCTAATATTATATTATTTAAATTTCTGTTAAAGCGTCGACTTTTATAATTAAACATTTATAATTTTACAATTAAATATTTCGTTATATTTTGTTATAAGAACGCTTGTTACAAAATTTTGCTTGTAATTAAAAATTTCTGGAAAACTATTGAAATTTTATATACTTCTTTGCTGAGTATATATTCTTTTGATATTTTATCAATTTTCAATTTTTAATTTCCGAAATTTAAATTTTTGAACTCGCAATTTCTTAATCATATATTTTTTACTGTATTTTTTCCATTATTATCAT